ATCGCAATCACAATCGTGGAATAATGATCATCGCTCAAACTAACAATGGGATCCAGAATTTTGCAAATCGCAATAAACTAAATTGAAGAATAATTTAGTCATTCTTAAATACGGAAAAAATTTGCTGTATTTTATTTTTTTTAGATCTTCGTGACCACTGTAGTACGTATTAAGTATTATTATATATAAAGCTCTTAACCAGGTCAGAAAATATCGATCCGGGAGGGACAAGTATTAACCCGGGTTATAGCTTGGGTCGGCAGGTCATGCAGAAATACATAAAGTTTTTTAAGTTAATCCTTAATAGTTGATATAACGATTCTTAATTAGAGTGATTAGCACAAAGAGCAACTCGTACTCCTAATATTTGAACTGGTACTTTGCTGATTTTATATTGAAAAATTTCTCGGCCTTGAGTTCATTTCTGCTAAACATATTAATTATACTCAAACTTTGAATTCATAGTATAAATATAAAATCGATCTTTATTAACAAACTAACCGCTTTAAACATCAAAAAAATCTCATTAACAAAAATAAAATAATTCACATCTCCTGATTTCGAAACCTGATTGGCCAATACAAAAAAAACTCCCAGCGCATGAGCAGGCGCACAACTTGTTTAAAAATTATACCTACAACCTCGTACAACTTCTAACGTTACACATTACCTCATATCATACATCTACTTACCTTCTTTATACATTTTCACAATTCCTGTTACTTAACTCACATAATTCTCCCTAAATACCCTACAACAAAAAATTTTATGTTACATATCATTAATTCCTACTAACAGTTACTAAAACTCCCTGCTCTTCACAGCGAAAAACTTGTTTTTTAAAGACTTTGACTTTACATAGCTCGATAACTCGTGATGCATGCATTTATCGTCTGTGTGAATTTCCTGACAAGGAAGTATGCGCATGCTTTGACTGCTTCTATTTAGCCTTCTTATAAATTCCAGTTTCATAGAAGAGATGAAAGAAAATACATAAATAGATCAGTATATCTATTTGTTTATTATTTTTTACATTTACTAAATTATCTATTGATAACATGACTTCCGAGAACCGGTACTTATATGAAAAAATTGTCGACTATTTGGCCAACTTAAAAACAGAACATATTATGTCCGCCTCAGTTATCTATCAAGGGTTAGAAGAGAATCCGTGGGTAAGTAAAGACGAGCTAAAAGAGATTGTGGAACAAGCGGTGAATTCAGTAAAAGGCTTATGTGAAAGGGATTTCATGCGATATTGGAAAATTAGTCAAATTATGCTACATGTGAGTTAAATTTATTTTGATTAAAGTAATATTACATCGAATGATGTACACGAATAGTGATACGTTCTGAGGAAACTTGCCTAATAGTTTAAGTTTCCTATTAGCCCGCCAAAGGGATTTTTCTGGACGGCGTGGAGGGGATTTATTCTATCAAAAAATGGGTTGTTTCTATGTTGTTATTTAGTATCACACAAAGTCCCATTTGCGTAACAGGCCGTACCAAATGATGACTTTGTAATATTCTGACGACCATGCGGTTAAACCTATATTTTTTTTTGATGCATCATTGATTCTAACTTATTGAATATCCGCCTTAGTTCGATATTGCTTTTGAGAGCGTTTGTAATTTACATCAAATTGGCGTTTTAAAAACGGTACATCTAAAGGTGGGAGGCGAACATTTAAAAAATAGGTTATAAAATAATGTTATGTTTGCAGAACAAAGAGAAGCCACTAAGCGTAGAAGAAATTAAATATAATATAAATATGTTGAAGGGCAAACTCATGGTTGGTAATTTGTTTTGCGATTTATACTCTCTTCATGAATTTAAATAATAATATTTTTGTTAGAATAAAAAGAATGGCACATCAAAACTACAACAAGAACTAGTTAAAATTTTGAATGAGATACCTATTTCCGAGCTAACCTGGGATAATCCTTTAGCCAGCCAGGTAATTAGCTATGATTCTAAACTAGTTCATCGTTTATCGGACAAGCAAA